TGCTATGGCTAGTTTAATACTCATTTGTTCTTGGCGACAAACACATTCTTGAGATTAAATCTATGACTTAATTGACTGAATGTTAGTTTCAATTTTTGTTTACATTTGGAACATTTTTACGTGCTTATAATATTTAATTTTTATTCAAGAAAGATAACATGTTAACAATGTTAAACGATTACATGTTAGAACAACAGCAAACGAGTGAAGCATGCGCGGACCATAATTTCAAGTTTAGGTTAATGGGACTCATACACCTTAAAACCCATAAGATGTTCGAATAGGTGACTGTTGCAAGAATTGAAATAACTTATTTATTTTACAAGCAATTACTACCAACTTTTTACAGCTGACTACATAATATAGCTGCTTTCTGAAATAGTAATCAGAAAGTTTGTGTTGCCACAAATATTTGTATAATTTAATCCGCTTTGTGACAACATTTTTCGTCATGCTTCCAACTTGCGCGCACAGTTTAAAACATTCTGTTTCATAATTTAATTCCATATTTAATATATAGCTTTTATAACATTTGGAAACGACTGTGAACCTAAAATTCTAAAAATTTCATGTTAAATTTTTATTTGATTTTGAGTTGAGTTTATAAAATGTATTTTATTAAAAAAAATTAATGTTTTCGTCCATAAAATTTTTCAATATTAAAATATTCATCAGATTGTTGGTTCAGTTAGAAAATAGTGCTCATATAAAGAATTTCATCAAATTTTCAAGTATGTACCATTAGCCATTTTTAAAATATCATGCGCGCAAGGTGGAAACACGCAAAATATTTTGTCACAAAGAAAATTACATTACAAAAATATTTGTGGCAACACAAACTTTCCGGTTACTTGTTTCCAAAGCAGCTATATTATGTAGTCAGCTGTAAAAAGTTGGAAGTAATTGCTATTAAAATTAATAAAATATCCCAATTCTTGTAACAGTCACATATTCGAAGATCATGAGGGGTTTAAGGTGTATGAGTCCCCTTAAAACTAATTTAATTTTGGTTTGTCTAATTTAGTTTCAGTTCTTAAGTATTAAAATTATTATTAACGGATGCATCCTATAAGTACTCGCATTAATACTATTGACACTACGCAAGAATCAGGTGAGAAGGAATAATTTTGAAATGACACAGCTTAACGAGATTTATAATTGGTATGTTACCATGTTTATAGCAGCTAAGAGAAACAATGAAATTAAACACAGAGCTTTAAGGAGTATTGCAATTTAAAGTTAGAATCGTTGACATATTTTTATCTTACATATATGTATTTGGTAATTTATTGAACTTCCTCCATATACAGGTTCCTCTAAAGCCTCAGATATAAACTTCTAATAAAGAGGACGTTTACGCATTTTAGCACGATTTCGGACAGTTTAATTAATGTTTAAAATATAAAGCATATTCTTTAAGTGTTCGATCTGATAGCGTTTTATCTGGACTATGAGTCTGTATCGTTATTTCCATGATGAATTTCGTAAAACTTTTGGGGCTATTGATTTCCATTTCTCTTCCACTATTTTCCAGATTCCATCAATTGTAATGAGTGTGAGCTTAAAAAGATCTCTTTTCAAGAGACCAGAGCCATAATAGTCCATAGGTGGACTTCGCAGGAATACATGAAAAGATATATCGGCAATATCTGTACCAAACTTCACGTTTTTTTTTTTTTTTTTTTTTTTTAAAGAATGCAGTGATACATTTAGGACTACATTTAGGATTTGTTGCTGTTTCTTGATGAAGTTTCACTCTTCGAAAGACTGGGAAATCTAATTTCCTCTGTAAATATCGGACGTAAGACTTTCTCTTGATAATATATTAAGTTGATTTGTAACATTTTTCTCAACTTTCCATTTTCTTAATTAACCATTGTAAAAGAATCCTGCGAACGGAAATTTTCTTTGGATTGAGGAAACGAGGTTTGTATATTTTTCTCTTTGTTTTTGATAATAAATAGACCTTTTTTTTGGGGGGGGGAAGCGTTTTAGGTAAAACCAAGCTTCTTCAAGTTTAATATACTTAATATGTTTCTTCAAGTTGTGTAATTTATATCCTTTTAAATAATTATTTTCATGCAGGGTCTTACAAATTGTTTTAAGCTGAATCATGTGCCTCATCAAAAGCTGGTGAACATAATGTTTTTTAACTTTTTTAAGCTGTAAACCTTAGTTTATTATTTTATTTATTGTTGAGGCAGATTTGTTTAAAGACTGTGCAATTAATTTCTGCGTCAGCGGATTTTCTCTAGTTACCAACCGTTTAACTGTAGAAAAAGTACGTATTTTTTTCGTGTATTCGTTTCGAGCTTTCTTTCCATATATAGATAATGTTTTCAGATTTTTCTTTTTCGAATTTATAATGTTGCTTATTTCGCACTTCGAAAGTTTAATACCATACATTTCACAATATTTTTGAATTACGAAACAGGAATATTTCTCGTCGGAAAGAGTAAAAACGTATCCTTCAACACGCAGCTGATTTACATGCGTTTTTTTTTTTTTTTTTTTTTTTTAAAGACGAATAAATTTAAAAGTGGCAACGACATAGTTATATTTGAAATCGTAAGCTATTTATGCCTAAACATGTGCTTTTTGTTTTTAGTTCTTGATCCAAATCGTCCTAAAAATGTGTAAACACACTTTGTATTCAACTCTAAAATGATACAAAATACGTTCTTTTTCGAACTCATTAAATCTCTTAACTAAATGTCTGATTGTATTTAAAAAAAAAACAATTTTTACAATCTTCTTTCCTGAAGGACTTCAGCTGTATGTTAGGATTTAATGCTTGTAGACATCGTGTGTTGAGCTATGCATACAAATGCACCCATGCTCACTAATAATAGTAATAAAAGCACGGCAAACACTTATAAGGTATTTCTCCCACTTTCTTAGCATGCTTTCGTAGTGTAGCTGTCAGCACGCTGGGCGCGTATTCCAGTGGTCCGTGGTTCGAGTCCCGACGAAGGAGTTTCTCCTTTTCCGCTACTTCTGCTTAAAATATAACCTAATAGATCTACTATTACTAGATAGTGTAGTTCCTAATAGATTCCTTAAGTTCCTAATAGATCTACTATAACTTTAGTGGTGCCGAAGCTAAAAGGGTGGTGGATGATAATTCTCCACACCCAGGATTTGGCGATTGGGTTGCCTAAAAACCGCAGTCGCCCTTTATAAGTATATAAGATATTTCTTAAGGGAGTATATAAGATATTTCTCCCACGTTCTTAGCATGCCTTCATAGTGTAGTGGTCTGCACGCTGGGCACGTATTTCAGAGGTCCGTTGGTTTGATTCCCGGCGAAGACGTTGCTTACCCTGTAGTGCCATTAACTTACTTTGACGGAACAGGTTAAATAAAGTGACTATATCTCTCCTGCTTTCAAAATTCCCTAATATCTCTACACACTCTGTTGAGGTAATCTAAAGAATCAAGTAACTTATGTAAATACTTTTATTTACTTGTTAGTGAAAATGAGCGTATTTTTCTCTTTTGTTAATTTATTCAGGGTACTGTTACTTTTTACTCCTCTTTGTTTCTCTTAAATAAATTTAGAGTCAGACTTCCTTAAGAAATGAACTTTGTGTCTCAAAAAGTATAACCTACGCGTAATTTAACCTCTAAATTGACCTAATAGCTACAGCTGTAATGAGTCTTTTTTTATGCAAGTGAAAAAAATAATTCCATACACGAAACACAGTTATGAACAATACAATAACAGCTAATGATACTTTAAAGAAAATATTTTTATTTTAAAACCTGTGTTCAAAGAAATAATTCAATATAATAAATACCATGTTATTTTAATATACACTTTTCGAATTAATATTCGATATCTTGATTTTATAATAATTACTGGTAGTTCTACTTTACGTATGATAAAAATATTTATCATCTTCTGATACTATTTAAAAAAGTAGGCAAGCGATATATTTAATTGGATACATCATTCTTTTTAATTGGTGTTTTTTGAGAAGTTACTGGTAATCACTGTTGGGAATTCCGTCTCCTCTTAGTTTCTTTCCCAAAACGACAATATGACTACCTCGTTTTCGGTAATTGACCAGGATCAGAGTGAAGTCGGAAAAATATGTTTTCTTAATTAAACGACCAAGCATAAGGTTAAATTAGGAGCTGTAACTAAACTACTGAGTTTACAAAACACGTTTACCTGCCTTTCTAAAGAAATAGAGAGTTTTCATTTGTTGGTCTTCCTGATTGACAGAGTAATGACATGAAAAAAGGTAAAATTTAAACAAAATTAAATTTAAAAAATTTATTTTTAACTACAATAATAATAAATTTAATATCCTTACAGGGGCAAAAAATGATAAACTTTAATTTTTTAAAACTAAAGCTTCCAGCAAAATTTTTTTTTTTGTCTCCTTTGTTGACAAAACTAATGAGCAGTGTTTTCCCCCCCTCCATTACTATATTATAACATTCTTATTTTATGAAATCTAGAGCTGATTCAGAGGAGCATGGTTTATATTTTAAATGTTTAGTTCTGTTAATAAAATTATTAGAAGTCTTAAATAAATTGAAAACTTCAGCAAAATGAGCAATGTATTTAACATGAAGAATGAAATTTACATGTAACACGTACAATACAATTACCAACTTTCTATAGAAAAATGGTTGAAAAACCATAGATTTGTATCTAAAATGTGTAGGTAAAATGGGCATTAGCATCGATGATTACTAATTTAAGTTCTTCAAATAAAACCTTAGCAAGCGCATAATAAAGTAAGCTTTTAATAAAAACTGGTAAGCATAAATTTATTTATACACTTTATATACAATAGCAATGATATAAGAAGCGAATAAGCGATTAAAAATTATAAGAATTTAAATGAAAATGCAGAAGAATTTAAGTTGAAGGTGTCTGCTTAATACCAATACATTTTACATTTTCATTATGAATTTTAACTCTTGTAGACATATTTATGCACCAGCAATTGAACGCTAAAATCACCGAATAATCATATTCGCAGGGTAGCCACCGAAGAGAGCAGACGTCCTGTCATGAGCTCCTCGCCTTCTCCCTCGCCAACGCCGGACGCACGGGCGGGCCCCGTAGATTCACCGAAACCTATGGATACAACCGCCATCATCGATTCTCCTCCAGCTGAGCCTGTGAAGGATGTTCCTGATCCGACCGTAAATAAAGAAGAAATCATCGTTGATAACCTGCTTCTGCAGATTAAACAGCTTTACGCATTAAAATCGAGATTTGCAGAGCTAGAGGCGACGCTGACCAGATCCAGAAGGACAACGCCACTCGAGCACTTCGACCTCAAGCAAGTGGAAAAGGAAAGCCAGGTAGTACTCTTTTCACTAACCTCTCTAGCCAAACGCCTGAATCTCCCCCTATTCGCAATCCCAAGCACTGAAGAAGAGTGCTTTCAAAAACTTTTTCGCGCATGCGAAAACCCCCCAGAAAAAGATTCACAGTTGGATGTTATCTCAAAATCTGTCAAAAAGATGCCGCAATCTGAGAAAACTAATAATAATTCTACTAGCAGTGATAAAAATCCTATCATCAAACCTGCTAAGTTAATTTTTGATCATCGTGATAAATATAATCAGAAATCTCCCAAAAAATCTTCGAACAATACTCCAAAAACAACCCCTACTAAAGCAAAAATGACTGCTCAACAACCTCCCCAAAAAAAGCCTAAAGTTGACTCCGAAGGATTTTCAATACCTTCCAAACATCTCATAGTTAAAAAGACAACTCTAAAAGACTTAGATAAAGCGCCTGATAAGGAAAATTCAAAAGACGCCACTTCTTCTTCGCCTCCATCTTGGAGCGAGAGGAGTGAAAGAACCAGTTCTGCCTTCCCCCCCTCACTAGAGGAAGGAGAAATTCAGGAAGAAGCATCGGAGCGGAGCGAAAGCGGGCCTCCCCCTCCCCCTCCGCTAAGAATATTCCACATTTCTTTGTCGTTCCGAACGACTGGAAATTCTTAGTCAAGGTTGTACAGAGAACTGTACCAAAAGCACAATGCTGAATGAAAGGCCATTACCTACGAATCACGGTAACCTCTGAAGAGGAGTATCGATCTGTAGACCACGTCCTGAGAAATCAGGGCACGGAATACAAATCATTCCATCTAAAGCAGGATCGTCCCCTCAAAGTTATCATTTGGGGTTTCCCGGTGAAAACTGAGGCGGAGGAAATAAAAGCTGAGCTCTCTCTGATGGGTTATAGCGTGATTAGTGTAACGCAGTTACGACGTTACAAATCCCGGCACCCAATGCCTCTGTTTCTCATACAACTCAATCCTACCATCAGTGTCTACGACATCTTCGAGGAGACGCAAATTTTTGGCATGGACATCCAAGTCGAAAAACACCGTGGACGCAAAGGAAAAGTCTCGCAATGCTGGAGATGCCAAGGGTTTTTCCATTCCAGTGCTGTATGCACACTTCCAGTTAGATGTCTGCGATGCGCCGGACCTCACTTTGCCCGGGACTGCCCCAAGCCATTTGAGGAGCCCAACATCTGCGCAAACTGCTCAGGAGGACATGCGGCGAACTGGAATCCACTGTCCGAGGAACCCAGCTAACAAGACTCAGAAACAGAGGATCCCATCTAATCCCGTTTCGAAAATCCCAGGTGCCGGGAAACAAAATTTTGTACCCGCTCCCGCTCCTACTCCATTTAGCAGCACGGCCCCCTTATTCTCATCAGTAGTAGCAAACAAGCGTACAAATCCCGGAAGAACGTCCGTTCCTGCTAGTAACACAGCAGCAGTACCAACCATCTCCACTGTTCCTGTGACTGTTCCTGCGTTGGAGAAACCACCGGCCCAGGTTCTAGCCCCGACTGCAGCTCCGGACGACAACTCCTGTACAGACACACTCTGAGGAGCGTCTTTCAAATATCAAGGGAGTTTGGAATCGAACAGAACCTGTTGCTAGCAGCATTCCGGAAGGCACTACCTCAACTAAAATCCGCTACTTCAGGACCGGAAAGAGCATTCTATATCTTTGAAAGCTACTGTGCTCTCACTTCTTAAACTGCCACATTCAACGCCTCAAATAGAGACAATCTTCTCATCGGCTTCTGGAATGCGAACGGCGTTCTTCCCAAAATACATGAATTACGGGATTATATCAGTGAGCATGCTGTGGACCTCTTCCTTGTTCAGGAAACTCATCTGGTTGAGGAACGTAGCGCCAATATTCCTAATTATTACTGCTACCGCAATGATAGAGCGGCTAGTAACAGTGACGCTATTCGCGCTAGTGGTGGCACTGCTATTTATGTAAAACGCACTGTCAAACACAGCAGAATTCCAACTCCGCACATGGAGGCTCTTGAAGCAACTATTGTCCAAATTTATATTCAAAATTTACCCCCCATAGCAGTAGCGTCCTGCTATATGCCTCCAAGAAAGGGACCAAACTTTCTCCCTGACCTTAAAAAACTTAGCGGAGTCTTAAATAACATGATTATTGCAGGAGATTTTAATGCCCGCCATAGAAGTTGGGATTGCGTCACTGCCAATAACTATGGTGATAAATTAAAAAAATTGGGCTCAGGGCGCCCACATCCAAATTATTGCGCCAGGAGTACCTACGCATTATCAGTTTCCTGGAGGCATAGGTGCTCCATCTATTATTGATTTGGCTCTGTTCAAAAATATACCGTTAGATCATTCGATACAAGTGATTCCGGAATTGTCAAGTGACCACTACCCGGTTCACCTTACCCTTAACTGTGTGTCAAAATTAATCAAAATTTACCGGCGCAAGTCTCCACTAATTGGGACAATTTCCGGCATATTTTGAATTCAAAAAATCTTCCCCCCCTCAAAATTAGCAATAATCAAGAAGTTGATAACTCTATCGAGCAACTTACTAGCACAATTAAAAGTGCATTTGATGCGGCCTCATTCCCTAAATTTAGACCAAATTATTCCAAACTCCCGGCCTACATTAAAGATAAAATCAAAATTAAAAACCGTCTTCGTAGAGATTGGCAAAGAACCCGAGTTGAAACTACCAGAACACAACTACGAAGACTCCAGAACGAGATTAAATCTGACATCAAAAGGTATTCTGATGATAAATTTAACTCTTATCTTAGGTCCTTAAAGACCACAAATAACAGCCTTTGGGAAGCTAGTGCTCGGCTACGCAAACCAAAAAATGACATTCCCCCCTAATGGGCACGGTTAATAACCGGATGGCAATCACAGGCAATCACAGACAAAATTACCAGGGCCTCGATCAGCATCCTGTCTTCATCTTAGTTAAACTTTACGAAAACTATATTGCTTAGACACCTGAAAGAATTTCTGCCGAAACCGAAATATAATTATCCCACAACAATTCGGTTTTCGAGCTAAACACTCCACTCAGGCCCAGCTACTGAGAGTAGTGGAAATCATTCATACGGGTGCTCGCAATGGAATGCCAACCGCTATTGTTTATTTAGATGTAGCAAAGGCATTCGACAGGTGTTGGCACATCGGCATAATATTCAAGCTCATGCGACTTGGACTTTCGGCTGACTTTGTGCGACTAATGCACTCCTACCTAAATAATCGACATTTTTGTGTTAAAGTTAAAAATTCTCTCTCTTCCCCCCGTCCTATCCTGGCTGGGGTCCCTCAGGGAGGAATAATTAGCGCGTATCTTTTTAACCTGTATGTATGTAAACGACATTCCACAACTTACCCACTGTCGATCTTGCACTTTATGCAGACGACACTGCCATTATCTTCACAACACTCAACTCTTCACCACACTTTGCATCATCTCCAGCAATATCCTGTCAGATTTAGAGTCCTGGCTCGTTGACTGGAAGATCAAAATTAATGTTGCAAAAAGTGCTGCCACCGTTTTCTTTTCCAGAAAAAGGAATGTTCACAGCCAACTCCAACCACTCAAGCTCTACAATGAAAATGTACCTTGGGTGGACTACTACAAATATCTCGGAGTTTATCTGGATGCGAAGCTAATCTGGGGCGTCCATATATCATATGCAATAAGTAAAGCCAAAACCACTAGGAATCAACTGATGCAATTAATATCCAGAACCAGCCACCTATCTCTCCGTAACAAGCTTCTCCTCTATTCAACTACCATCATGCCAATTCTGACTTACGCAGCACCTATCTGGGCCACAGCAGCTAACTCTCACCTTAAGAAGATTCAAGTTTTCCAAAACGTCACGCTTCGCATCCTAACTAATGCTCACTGGTATGTACGCAATGAAGTACTACATTCTGACCTCAAAATTCTTCCCCTGGATGCTTATTTCAAGCACATTTCGACAAAATTTTTCAATAGAATTGAACAGATTAGCAACCCGGTCTTGCATAACATTCCAGCCTATAACCCAGCTGAACCTAGTTCTGCTAAAAGACCTAGGGCTGTCATGGACAGGTCTTATAACATCTTCCCTAGGCGGCCTAAAAGGGTTTGTTTGCTTGATCGGGGAACCTCATCTGGCTAAACTATCAGTACTTCATGGGCCTAACCCAGCTACAATTAACTATTCTTACCCCCCAGACCTAATCTGGCATAGTTTTTCGCGAAACCATCACCGTGCTGCTATTTTTTATTTAATACCCACCTTTGCCAAGACCTCTGCTGCCAGAAGAATGTAGTAGTGCAATAGCATGTAATTCTTTAAATATCTTAATCATTAATTAAAAAACTAAAACCTCAATAAAAACTATTTTAATTTTAACATAACTTTAACTTCTTAAAATGTTAATAACCATCTGCTACTCAAAAATTATTAAATCATTTTTTCATCTAGCTAAAGCTTCATTTCTGCAATACAAGCTGCATGTCAACAATTTCACCCTTCGGTTCTTCGCTACTCAAAGCTTATTCCTTTCCAACTTACTTTTTATTCTCTCCCACAGCAATCGCTTTTTCGACTCTTTCGCCTTCTTCGGTCAATGACCTCGTCCCCCCACCCCGACCATCCCAAGGCTCTTAGCTAAATGCTTGAATACAGTTACCTTACCTTTCCCGAGGCCCGGTTTTCCGCGCCTCCCTCCATCAGCTGTCTCGTATCCATCCATGGCAACCATTCACGCTCAGCGTTCTGGCTGCCTCTCCTATTGTATCTGAGAGCAAGCAGTTGACTCGCGACGGGGGGCTAAACACCCTCCATTGTGTTCAATGCTTGTTCTCTCCTCCTGTGTCCAAACAAGAGGACTCTTATCGAATCTTGATTTTTGCTTAACTGCTTCTTTCACAAACTTTAGCTAATGCTTTCTCTTAATCATTCCAATTTTCTGAACGAAGATGTGGAGGTAATTGCATTTAATTGCAAAGGTACTCCGTAATTCAAACGCCTTGGTCCTTGGTCCGAATAATCATATAATCATAGCTCTGTTTGAATGAAATCTCCGCAAACAGGTTGGTTGCATTACACTTTTGTTACTCTCAACGAAACCATATAGGCAAATAGCTTTGCCATAAAATAAAATGAGTAATTTTAATTCACCTGCGTAAGTTTATTTTCCTAGGTAGCACGTATTTAACAGTGGAGACGGCACGCTGGTGCATATTTTGCGCTGTTTGTTGTGTTTTACATATAATGGCTGCAGTGATAACGTGGAATAATTTATCCCTTATCTAAATTTTAATTAGATTGTTTGCCTCTGAAAGCCTTTGCTTCATTCAGACCTAATTCCTAAAAGCGGGTATGCCTTTGTGGAGGTATTTCTAAGTGAAATGTTTCGTATGTACGTTACGCATACACTGTAAAAAAAAGGCCGCTCTTTACAGGCAAAAGTTTAGTAAAGTTACAGAAATGAAAAAGTTACTCAAGAATTTCCTGTAACGGCAACAGTTTGAAAGCAATCTGTGTGAAATACAGACGATTCGCGAGTACGATTCTTTGAAGTTATAGTGTTTGAACAGTCACGCGGAAAAATCACGTGACTGATTGGAGGGGGGACAATTTCTCAGCCAATCAGTAGAAAATAAGCATCTGAAAGCTAGTCGCAGGAAAAACATGGCTGATTCGTCGCGTTTCTGAGGCAAGTAACAAAACTTTTACGATTACTGTTTGAGATCTTTTTTGTTCCTTTTATGTAGATTATCCTTATGCACGTTACACTGTTATATATATTCATTAAGTATTTTAACGTTTAACCTTTGCTATTAATAAATATGAATGTTCGTAATGTCTAACGGCAGAGGAATTTTGAGTTGAAAGAATGCATAGCACATAACAAGCACTATATTGAAAACAAAGCAAAATTTTTATTCCAAATGCAGATCGAATGATAGTATTTTGTCATTGTGCATCCGGTAAGTTACGCCGTAAACTGACCGTATTATTTATATCTAGTTATTCCAAAATTTAATCACTGCTATGGTATTTAATTGAAAGAGTAATGTGGTGAAAATGTTATAATTCCAAAATTGAAGTAATTATATCTGATTAAAAATATATCGCATGATACTTTACGTAATGTTTTCTTTTACTAACTAGATGCAGCTGATTTTTAATATGAACAGAAGAAAAATGGAAATGATCTAAAATATTTTTCTAAAAATTCGTTAAACTAATTATAAACAAAAAGGTTTGTACTAGGATCTTACCAACAAAAACTAAAATGTTGTACATTATTTCCAAAAATATCATTTCATTAATATTTCATAATTGATGAAATGTATTATATTCTATATTTATAATTTTTAAGCATTTAATGTAGAATTTATGTTTATTTTATTTTGCCAAATTTTAATACTCTTTTGAAATATGATAGCCTTGTTACTAACATAGCATAAACTTGCTAATCTAAGTGTAATACATTTTTTGACAAATGTTTCTCTTGAACATGTAATATGATATATAAATCATAATGTAAGTTTTCTTAATAAATTATATGTTTATTGGAATTTAAAACAATTGTGTTTGTATGTTAATATTAAAAGTAAAATAATAATAAATTTTTGATAAAACATTGATTTTACCATTAACAGTGTAAACATTATATAAATACAATGCAAATGCAAGCCACTTTTCCTAACAATGCCATCCATGAATATCTGCTTCCCTTTAAGCTGATAGCTTTTGCATGCTATCTATGAAGCCAAATGATATGAATGTACAAAAAATTTTCCTTTCTTTAAAAGTTAATGCAGGAAATAAAATTCAGTGCATTTGTAAATTACATTAGTTTACTTATAGCATGGCATTTAGGTATCCAATGATTTACTTATTAAAACTAATACATAATGCAGATATCTTTTAAACAAAAGGAAATCAAGAAAGTCTGATTTATATATATATATGCTTTAATTTTTAATTATTATTTTAATTTTTTAAGTGATTACTTTTCATTTGTTATATTAATAATTTCAAATTTCAGTAAGAGTTCATCCTTTCAGTAGTATCATTGTTAGATATCTTAAATTCAATAATTGAATGTAATATTTCTTTTTAATAAAAAAAAAAGCAAGGTTATGAAAGATCTGAAATGGATTTATAATAGTTTGAGAAAAAAGATTTAAAAGAGACCTACATTCTAATGACAATGCTTAGTAATAGTTTTCATTTCTACTTCCCTGGACCTTAAATTTCTCCCTCTCTTATTATTGTCCACTGCTACTCTCTAGACCTCAAACTGTTTAATGCATTTGGAACTGGAATTTGTGTCATCTTCTACAGCATGAAAATTATCACCCTTCAATTTCTCCTGCATGAGCAATGATCTTCGGAATTACCATATTGCCCACGTGTATTCCTAGCAGCTTTAGAATCAGATTCTGAAAATTAAAAAAATATTTCCATAATATTTCCCTTTTCCAGTGCATTCAGAAAATGAGTATCACGAACTTTTAAAATGGATTTGTTGACATAGTAATTGTTTTCATCATACTAACAAAGGCAAACTCTCGTCCACTACCTGCAAAGACCCTTTAAAAATTTCCCTTCTGACTGTTGAATTTTATACCAGTCTAATACAAAAAGTGATCTGTGGTAGTGAAGCAAATACTAACTGTCATTCACAATTTTGCCATGTCAGCTGTAAGGTCATCTTCTTTAATTATTTATGGATGATCTGAGGCCTAAGGAGTAGTAAAGACAACAATGAGAATGAGAAAAATTCAATTTACAGAGAAGTAGAAATGAGATAACTTATTAAATGTGGTACTTGTGTGTATTTGAATTAAATGTAGTTTTCTTTTAAAGAAATAATGTTGTGATAGTTACTGGTAGATTATCCATGATTACTTTTCATTTGTTATATTCTTACTGTGACTGTGTGTTTTGGAAATTAAATTATTCGCTTAATTTTTCCCTCTAAGTTTTCGGACAATAAAATTAGCCCCCCAAAAAACGAAGGGAATATAGCATCAAGGAGGATTAAATATCACCATTTTCTTGAAGCTGTTCACTAGTTATTGTTTCATTAGTGAAAGCCCATGCACCCCAAATTCACCAGCAAATCAGTTAGCAAGGTGAAAACAGCAATTATGTGAGCAAAAAATTTGCGGTAACTCGTTTTTTTTTGAGCGCCTTAAGCATTGCCAAAAACATTTCAGAACCTTGTGCTGAAAGAAAACTAGGGAGGAAATGTGTGAGCAAATACGGTATTTAGTGTCCAAATTCCAGTGATTCATTTGGACCAATTTGTAATATTGTTTTAGAAATTTAAGGTAATAAATATATTTTTCCAATGCACTAGAACAGTTTGAGAAATTTATTCAGATTATGAATTCTGAATATAGGTCTACTGTATATTTCATTTCACATCTATAATGGCTTCATTTATGAAAGAATTTGCATATTTGCTGTTTTCGTGCAGTGAACCTTCTCTAAGCTAGCTATATGTGATTCCTGAAGATTTTGATCTTTAATGAAAGTGGGCATCTTAGAAGTTATTTTATGAGAAATGCTGGTTAGATTTAAGAAGTAATTGATTGATGGTAGCTAATCGTAATGAGACAGTTCACTGTAATTCAGTTTTTTAATGAATTTAAGCTATCCTTTAAGAGCATGCTTTTTAAAAAAATCTTTTTTTTTTTTTTTACTTTTTAAGGAGACATGCTTTATATGTGCAAAGATGGAAAACAATTCATTCCTTTTTTAAAGTACCAAGATGAAATTGTATGAAAAGTGATATCATGTTATTTTTAAATTAATTCATTTTTTTCAGATCTTATGGTCAGCCCACCAGCGGCCGAGCGGTAAAGACACTGAACACTGGTAGTTCGGTCCGAGGTTCGAATCCCGCGAACGGGCTGGCTGCATGGGCGTTTTTGTGGTTTTCCCCATGTGTAACGTGTATACGAGCCAGTTTCCCTTAGAAAGTCCTCCACGAAAGGCATCCCTCCTCTTAGGCAGATAGCCCTAGTGTGCTTTGCCATAATTAAATACACCAATTCAGATCTTATGTAAAGTTTATGATTTAAAATAATAAATTTGTATTTCTGTATTTTTTATTAGTGTATTATTTGTTTCATAGTGTTTACTTAAATGTAATAGTAAAATACTTTCACAATAAAATTATAAATTCAATAAACTTTCTTAATTAACATGGTGTAATATACATGGCATAAAATATGTTTTCTGTTGTCACATGTGTATTTCACAATTTTGTATGCAAATTTCAAAATTTATAATAATTAGGCATACTTTTTAATATTACTTTCTAAAATAATATTCTTTATGGACTGAAATGAATCTTTTATTTATTTATTTATTTATTTATTGTGCATAAAAAAAGGAAATGTCACATTTATGTTTTTCATTGAATCCCACTTATTTGTAATTATGCCAAGATTTTATATCAAGAAAACAAATTTTAAATATTTTTAGAAATTAGCAATAAATTAAGAAATAAATCATTATCCTCTCTGAAACATTTAAAAGTATTTATTTTTAAAACAAGACCAGAAGCATTTAACTAAAAAGTGGAAAGGTAAAGTTTTTTTAACACTTTCTGAAACTATCTAGCATTGATTATCCAGTATGTATAGAAAATTCATTAAGGGTAATTTTGTGATGCCTAATATGTGCTTTAAATTTGGTTAATATGCAACTTTGCAACACAAGAAATGCAGTAAATTATGTGATTTTAAACTTTGAACGATGATTATATATTTCCTTTTCAGCACAGAAAGAAAAAAAAGCCAACTTTTAGAAGAATATAATTATGAAAAAATGAAAAATCTTTTTTTTGGGGGGGGGATGTGTGTGCTATGGAATATAAAAATAGTACTCTTTTTAATGTGGATTGTCAAGTTGGCAAACTTAATCTCGCAATTTGTAATCTGCAGTTGCAGTTTCAGGTGTCGTAAAAAGCTTAATGTAGTGACTCTGTAGCAAACAAATATCTGAAAATTAGTTGCGGAAAAAAATGTATAAAAATTAAAATTTTTTATTATATTTTGCAAGTTTGTTGTCCTTTATAATCTGAGATTATTAACCAGCTGTGGAATTGCTTGTAGTTTAATATCAAGTAGACTGATTATCAAAGAGGCAGAAAGTCTGCAGAAGACTAAATAAACTTTATAATAATATAAGACTTAATAAACTATATAATAACTAATTCAAAATATCGAAATAAATGCATAAAAATACTTTTTAAAGTTTGTAATTATGGAATAATGGATCTGTGGGGCTACTTCCACTCCATCCCCCCCCCCCGCATTTTTTCAGCGCCTCGAGTTCTTGCGCATGCGCGCATAAGAACTTTTGCCTTCTGTTTTTTACGAGTCCGTTTACACAATGTATTCATCGCTGAGATTTATGTTATCCTAACCGTTAGCGCATTTTTTTTTTTTTCCCCTCGGGAAGGTAGATGGTGTGAGGCTACCTTCCAACCCACATTTCTTCAGCGCCTCGAGTTCTCCTCGCGCATGCGCGAAAAGAATCATCTCTGCGTGACTGCAAAAGAGAATTTCTGCCTTCTGTTTTTAACGAGTCCGTGTACACACAGTATTCATCACTGACATTTATGTTATCCTAACGCTATGTATATATTTTGACTCATTAAAAGAGTTTATTTTTCTAAATAGGTGTCTAGCATTTAACAAGACTCCAAAGATCTGCATATTGTCTATTCATGTAATATGTAAAAGGCAACTGAGTAATGCTGTTATTTTATATTGAAAATATTAAATTAATTTTTAATATAAAAAACTGTAACTTTTCTGAACTTTGAAATTATATAATTTTCATTAAAAAAATTTAATTTTGTTTCATGATAATATAAATGAGCATTGATGTATAACTTCTAAATTTTTGGAATTTTAACTGAGGATAGATAATAAGAATAATGAGGTTAACTGAGGATAGATAATAAGAATAATGAGGTTCTTATGCATATAAAACAGTTCAAGAGTAATTAATTTGTTTAATTGAATTTTTCACCTTTGATTTAATTTCGCAACTTGATTTAGTATGAAAGTGCTGACTAACTGATTAATTTTGGCTCCATTGTAAATATTGAGCTTAGATTTATTATATATCGTGCTTCTAAATATGTGGGAAGGGGAAATAAAAATATAGGTAAAATTAAGATGCATTACATTGTAAGCTAAAGTGAAGTATTAATTTTTATAACAAATTTGTTAAATGCATAATTATATTAAGAATTAATGGAAGCAAAGCTTTAAAAATTAAGGTTAGTTAATGAAGTTTTATGTTTATTTAAAAAACATGACATAAGTTTTTTAATGAATGAAAGAATTTATCTCTTAATTCAAAGGAAAATTATTTGGAGATAAAGTAAAAAAATTATCCAACTACTATCTATTATTTCAAACAGTACAGACTATTGACAAACACCGAGTGCAGATAAGAATAAAAAGATTAGTTGAACGGTGTAATTCAAACATAGAAACAAAATTTTGGACACCTTGCGGTAGCAAAATAAAGTTCATTGCTGTGTTGTATTCTTCATTTTACTGAAAATATCATTTTTTTAGGAGAGAATATAATTTCGAAATATGAAGAATAGCTATTCTGAGTTCTTCATAGAAATATTTTACAAAATGTCTTTTACTGTATTAATGTAATCAATTCAACATGCAATGTGTTTACTCAAATAAGTTAAATCTAAAGCAGTGTCTGTCTATTTTATTTAAAACTACTGAACAGAAAAGGAAGTTTTAGAACATATGACACTAATATATATAAATAAAGTGTTCTTCCCCCCCCCCCAATTATTTTACAGGACAAATGTATTTCCAGATGCCTTTGTGTTATTTTATAAAAAAATATACATCTAATAACAACCTATACATATATGTTGTTGTACAAAGTAAGAAGTAGCATATCAGTTTGAACTTTTAAATGAATCAAAATTCTACTTCAGATTGGTGATAATTTGAAAGGCCTTTCAATAATGTCACATAAGTTTCTCTTCATATATAACAAAAGCACTCTGCAACAGAATAATGCTTGCTTTTTGGAAAATGCTATTCTGAGGTCGCTCGCTCTATAACCAAATGAGCTTCAACATACGAACTCGAGGAGGTAAACTCTGTTATATCTTGTATCAGGTGAACAGGTGGGACGTTTCATACACTATTTTCATAATGCACAAATTCGAACACCAAGCTCAAGTTGCGTTGAGTTAATGCGTTTTGCAAAACGATTGTGCAAGACCTGCATATTATCTATTCTGTTTGTAAAGACAATCAGTACAAGGATGCACGCCGCGGGGTTTGAACCACAGTCCTTTCGATTGTGAACTACAAGCGATACCACTGCCGCGACGCGGGCTCGTTTTCTGTTCGAAGGATAACCATTCCTTCAAGTTTCGTGACGTCACAGTTTTGGAAATCGTGAAGAAACAAACCAGCGTTTACATCCACAAGGTTTCTTTTCGTTACTAAATCTACGATACTGTTTCTCTTTCCTATCTCGTATCGTTTTCGAGATAGGGACGCTAACTCCGCCGTTTTCCATTAGGTAGCGCTGTAAGCTATCTCATCTAGTAGCGCATAGTCACTTTACTATATCTAGCACTTTTATGACTATAGCTATATATATGTAAAGTATAAAAAATACGATGGCTTTGCTCTACGCGAAACAGCAACCTTTAATTAATTTTCTGCAATTTAGGATCTTTCCCATAGACCAGTACCTTCTAGAATTTGCTGGCCTATTACATAACTGCTACCATAAAAAACGAATGTGCGCCATTTTGTGTCAGAAGCTCGCCTCTCCTCCTGTGCTATTCATCTGGCTGCC